TTACTAGAAATAAGGCCCGTTGTGGAAATAAATACAACGAGATCTAGAAAGAGGCTCTGGGAGAGGGCTCTGGCTTTGGGCAAACAGTGTCAGTCTGCTTTTAAAACATGAACCTGGGACCTGCACACCACCAGAATACAGCAGGTTCCATATGCAACTGACATCCCAACTGCCTTGCGGTGGGGGGGGGAGTTTGAGGTGTGGAATGGAGTGAAGTCCAATCAGCTTCCATATGCAAAAGACCAGGTTGTCGCAGCAGTTGTGGTGTGGGCGGGACCCGGGCTTTGCCTTCTGATTGGTGGCGATAAATGCTGAGGAGCAGTGCCATCAGCCATACACTAAGGGAGTGCATTTTAGAATTAGAACTTTGGCACCCACTATTCAATTATATATAAGGAGAGATTTACACTCCACCTTTCTCCACAAGGGGGACCCGAAGTGGCTTACATCATTCTCTCCTCCATGTTATCCTCACAACAACCCTGTGAGGTAAGTTAGGCTGAGAACGTATAACTGGTTCAAATTCACTAGGTGAGCTTCCACGACAGAGTGCAGTTTCAAAACTGGGTCTCCCATGTCCTAGTCTGAAACTCTAAACACATATACTGACTTTCATGGGGTGGCTGCTGTTGAATACTAGCTAGCAGCAGAGCCTGCATGAGCCATGCAAGTCATGTGATATCAAGTCACCCAATGGGTGCTGCTGGGCCTGACCTCCATGAATGCTCCCTCAAAAGCCAAAATAGCCATGGAAAGGGTCCTGATCATCCCTCCCCACCTTTTACTGACAGAAACCAAGGCCTGAAGGCTGGCAATAATGTTATGATTGCCTAGCAACAGCCGCTGAGGGTTTTCCCCTCTAAAGCTACAGGTCCTGCTTCTATTATTTTGGGGGACTCAACCCCTCATGTTGTTGTTGTTTTAGATTTCAGTTTTTTCTGCAGCTTGCTATATACAGTTACAGCTGTAGTGTTTTTCTTCCAAGGACAAGAAATATGTAAACTTTGTATAAATTACACAACTCATTGTGGCATTTTTTTATCATGAATACTTGTCCATTGAAGTATGCTTTATAGTTCAAATTGTTTGTACATTCAGATCAGCACCTAAGTATGATGTACAGCTTATTCCTAATAAATTAAATTTGGATCAAGAAGTTTGCATATACTTCTTCAAAATATAAAATGGAGCCCAACAAAAAGTGGTCATACTTCCCAATTTGGAGATATGTACAACACAACAGGAGCTGCGGTGGCTCAAGTAGTTAAGACGCTGAACTGCAGGAAGTGGAAGGTCAGTAGTTCAGCAGTTCAGGACCTGAGTTGCCGCATGACGGAGTGAGCTCCTGTCTCTAGTTCCAGCTCCTGCCAACCTAGCAGTTCGAAAGCAAGAAATTGCAAGTAGATAAATAGGTACCACTTCGGTGGGAAGGTAACAGCGTTCCGTGTGCCTTGGTGTTTAGTTATGCCGGCCACATGCCCACGGAAACGTCTTCGGGCAGCGCTGGCTCTTCGGCTTTGAAACGAAGATGAGCACCGCAATCCTAGGGTCGGATTCGACTGGCTTTCGAGCAAGGGAACCTTTACCTTTTACAACACAACAAGAGGGGTGCAAATATCTCAAACGCACCAATGCTCATAGTTATGCTCCTCCTGTTGTTCTAACAGTTTTTTTTAAGGTTCTAGAACTAGTAGCCAAACTCTGGTTCACACACTTGTGTTTATCAGTTAACAACTACAGAATCAATTACCTAGCAAGTGTAAATGGGCCATCACGGTGTTAACAGAGTTAACATCACACAGGTATGAACTTGTTGACGGAGTCAACTGCCAGTCACTGTGACAGGTACCTGTAAACCAGTTCTAGGAGAATGAGCTACAGTCCCCACTTCAGATCTTGACTCAGTGTATTCATTAGAGCTGCAATTATCTGCACACTTTTTCAGAGGAAGCCCCATTAAACAAAATAGGATTTAGTTTTGAGCACACATTTATCCAGTTTGGTTTAAGAAGAGAAGAAGAAGAGATCGGATTTATACCCCGCCCTTCACTATCCAAAGGTGTCTCAGAGCGGCTTACAAACTCCTTTCCCTTCCCCTCCCCACAACAGACACCCTGTAAGGTAGGTGGGGCTGAGAGAACACTTGACAGAGACTGCTCTTTTTCAAGAACAGCTGTGCCAGAGTTATGGCAACCCACAACAGGTGAACCTCAGTCCCTGTTCTCCCTATTCACAACATTAAGATAATTTTAATTATCTAACAGGATTCGCATAAGGCAATGGTGTAAATAATAAATACAATCAATAAGGATCCATATGTAAGAATATGCAAGACACTGTATGTGGCCTAGATATATTGTGAGCTTGTTAACAAAGCAACTAGTCAAGCATATAAACATTACATGACATTTACAGCCCTAGTGTAAAGATTACTGAAAAAAATTTACATGAAGCACTTTGAACATCGGAAATACATAAAAGCCCGTATTTATTAACTTGATAAAGGAGTAGGAGATGTATGGATGCTTTTCAGAGATAGAAGCTGTCTCCAGTCTCATCTGAGCTCATCTCATCTAGACCAAGTCTCATCTGAGCTGTGAACTCAGTGTGTGGCCTTAGGCAAATAATTCTCTCCCTGATATCTACATGGGTAATTAGCCTACAATATGGGAACCACACTGACCTATCTTACAGGGCAAGGTTCCTATTGCTTTTCCTGAATGTTCACTTTCACATACATTATCTCAATAAGTGCTACAACAATCCTGAAAGGCAGAACATGTTATTAGCCCCACATTACAAACTGAGAAAATAAAAACCATAGTCCTGTAACAAGACACATTATAGCAACACTTAGCACCTTAATCACTAACAAAAACTATTTCCACAGGAGCATATTTATGCCTGCTCTCAGCCTATGCTCTTTTTATTCAGTTTATGCTCAACTAAACAGAGCTCTTATTAAAGATTCTTAGCCTTTAGACAGGTTTTTTAATCAAGTGTTCCACGAACTCCAATCAACACCATACAGCAAGTCAGCATCAGTCTACACAGCAGGTTAAGTCAAAGGAACTGAAACTAAGACAGTACAGAGACAGGAATAATAAGGGCACTCAGTATTTACAGCAAGCATTAAAAGCCAATGAAATGTACCAGGCTGAGCATTGAACTCTCTGAGAGGCCCAGACTTAACCCATCACTCACCATAAAACCCAGTGGATGATATTGAGTCAGTCTGTCTCACTGATTTCATTAGATAGTTGTGAGGGGGGGCTCACTCTACCAGGAAGCTGCCTGGGTGGCCTTGAGCCAATCACAGTCTCAGCCAAACCTACCTCACAGGAGAACCACACACACCCCACACTCCTTGGGGGAGGGACAACTTTTCTTGCACTCTCCCAGTAATGCAAAATGGAAAACATAGACGTCAAACTCCTGTCTCGGATTCCTACCACCTTGTGAAGGGGGGGGGGGGGAGAGAAAAGGGAAATAATCCCAGCAATACTTACTCTTGGTGTCACCAGAGTTTAGGAGCACCTCTGCAGTACGGTTTTCCTTACAGGGCTGTTATAAAGGTTCCTCGGAGGTACCGTGAAGCGCTCCAAGAGGCTGAGGCCCCTCTACAGACACCGCTTACCCATTTACACACTCCCTCTCCCTCTCATAGGGATCCCAGCTTCTAAGTAGGACCTGGAGATCCCCCAGAATTATATACGGCCCTATACGGCCAAGGGCCAGCATACCTTTGGGGCCGCCTCTCCCCATATGAACCTCGTAGGGCACCAAGGTCCACAAATCAACATCTTTTGGTAGTCCCCGGCCCCAGGTACATCTGACTAGCCTCGACCACCTGGTGGAATGAGCTCCCATATGAGATCAGAGCCCTGCAAGGATCTATTACAATTCTGCAGGGCCTGTAAGACAGAGCTCTTCCACCGGGCTTTTGGCTGAGGTGGCAGACGTCCCTCCTCCCCTGGCCAATCTCCCATCAGTGACCTGGATCCAAATGGACACCTGGGTACCCACTGTTCTACCTTAACTGATCTGATCGACATCGCAACTGACATCTGATCTCATTTGTTTTACACGGTGTTTTTATGATTCTATACTGTTTTAAACTGTCATTTTAAAGTTGTCTTTTAAGTTTAATCGTATTGCATTGAGATTGATGTAGCCCACCCTGAGCCTGCTTGCAGGGAGGGTGGCTATACATTTAACGAAATAAATAAAAATAATTAAAATAAATTACAGCTCATCTGCAGAATACCGAGATCTGTTCCCACTGAAGTCCCTGCCCCCCCCCCTCCATCCCCAAATCTCCAGGAGTTTCCCAACTTGGAGCTGGCAAACATACCGCCCGCCATCCCCCGCTGATGGCTACGGGGGGACCTGGCAACCCTACGGTGTCGTCACCTCCTCCCCCCCCACCC